AGAATGTCAAGCAGACTCAACACTGAGCACGGAGCCCAATGAGGTGCTCCATCCCAGGACCCTGACCTCAAAAACTGAGCCAAAACAGAGTCAGAAGCTTAACAGAATGTACCACCCAGGTTCCCCTCAACTCTGCCACTTAATAGCTGTGTGATCTTGAGTAAGTTACATAACCTCTCTTTGCCTTCATTTTTCCACCTGTAAATTGGGGTAATTGATAATAGTCCTTACCTCCTGCTTCAGTACTGGTATTTAGGGATAATTGGGAAGAAAAAGAAAAGGATTTTCCTGAGAACTGTCTATAACCACTAGTAAACCTTTAAAAAAAATTTTTTTTTTTTTAACTACAAGGACACGGCAAACGTTTTAGGTCGTTACTGTGCATTTTAACTCTCCAAAAGGGGGATAGAAGGTATAGCTGTGAGTGTTACAAGACAAAACCAATTAACCAATCCCTGCTAGGTGCTTATAGTAGTAGCTGGCACATAATTAGTGCTACAGTCCTGCCCCCTTATCCAGGGTTTCACTTTCCTTGGGATCAGTTACTGGTGGTCTGGAGGCAGGTGATCCTCCCAAGGAATCAGCAGAAGGTCAAAAGTAGCCCAACAGTACACTGTAAGGCCTAAGTGGTTCTTGTCATTTCATCTTATCAAGGAGGCATTTTCTCATCTCACGCCATTACAAGAAGAAAGGTGAGTGCTGTACGGTAAGATATTTCAAGAGAGAGACCACATTCTCATAACTTTTATTATAGTGTATTGTTATAATTTTTCTCTATGATTAGTTATTGCTGTTAATCTCCTACTGTGCCTAGTTTATAAATTAAATTTGAGGTATGTATGTGTAGGAAAGAACATTGTATACATAGGGCTTGGCACTATCCATGGTTTCAGGCATCCACTGAGGATCTTGGAACATATCCCCCACAGATAAGGGAAGATTACTTATCATTATTAATCCCCTACCCAACTCCTACCCCAACATTTGGCCTTTTTGGCCGTGATTGCATGAGCTATGACTGCCCTAAAACAACTTAAAAAAAAAATACAGCAGATATATTATCTGTTAGTGTGCAAGAAGAAAGGCTCTCTCCAAATACACATAGCTAAAAGTCAGACAGACTTGGAAGTGGTAAGTAATCACTTTGAGAACCTCAGCCCATACATTTCCCTAGAGCAAACCACTTCCTTTCCCAACATTATTTTCATGTAAGGGGAAAATAAACATTTAAAGATAGCTGGGAAGAATCAAGGCTCCATATAAGGATATAAACTGATGCCTGTCCTTACCAGATGCCAAATCCCAGAAAGGACTATCTCTGAAACAAGTTTTTAAACTATACAAAGCAAGTTGTCAGCTGGGGGGGGGGGTGATTTTTAGGCCACTATTTTCTATTAAGCATTGCAGGGAGAGAGAGAGAGAGGAGACAGAGAAGGAGGCTGTGATTTGTACTAAAAAGGAATTAAAATAAAAAGCAGACTCTAGGACCCTGGGCAAAGAAGACCTTGCCTTCATCTCAATTCTGTCACAGATGAAGTCTGTGATGTGAACTTGGGTGAAAGCCTCAACCTGGGAGACTTCAGTTTCCTCAGCTGTAAAACGAGGGAGTTAACCGGATGATCTCTAAGATTTCCTACAGTTCAGACATCCTGACTTTATGAAATAAAATAGATGTTAGATGTTATATTCAGCAGGCAACAGAAGCCAAGTCTGGAAACTTAAGCAGGAAAAGGATCTTTCTGCAAGGATATTATTGGTAGCTCACAGAATCAAAGGGAAGGCTGGAGAAGCAAGCTCGGAACCAAAGCAGTTGGGTGGGAGTTCGGGGTGTACTGGGGCATCCAAAAGCAGAAATGACTCAACTCTGCTGCTGGAATGAAGAAACCCAAGTCTTTTTTTTCCACACATACATCATTGCACCCATAAATCCAAGTCCTGACATAGAGGATCAAAGTGGTCTAGCTCTGGCCACATGTCACCCCTTGGCTGATTGACAAGAAACCTTGATTTACTGTCTTGTCAAGACATCATTCCATGGGTGAGAGGTAATTCCCTAAGAGGAAACTGGCATAAGGCTATGAAAGAAAGATAATGCCTACTATGTGGCTCTTCACTATGGACGTTGTGCCTGCTTTTGTAATATTGCACACTGATATCACTCTTCTATGTGCAAACAGATGGGCTATTTTTACAGCCCATCTGAAAATAAACAGAACTTTGGAGCGAGATTATGATGCCATGACAACTTTGTGGACACCCATCATGAAAGTTTGGGCAACAGCACATACTTGAAGAGTAGCCTTAACATGCTTCAAGGAATTGTTCTGGGGAAAACCAAGCCTGGGTTTTATTTTTAGTCAGTTTCTCTCCTCACATCTCCCTGGAATTGAGGAGACATGTGCACAGAGGCACCTGCCAGTCTTCTGTCTTCCATATTTGCAGAGTCCTGTTTTGATTCTGTCAATTCCTTCCCACCTTAAGAACTGGGCAAATCTTGATACTCCCGAATTTATAACAATGGCCCCATTCCCTCACCATTGGTTGGTGTAAGAGCACATCCATAATCCAATTCTAGATGCTCTGACATGAGGAGAAATCTGGGGAGGCTTCTTTTTTTTGGGGGGGGGGCTTCTTATAAAGGTTTCTTTACTCTTAAAAATGGCATTGTGGATGTGATGGTTGCTGGCACTGTGGTACCACCATCTCATCTCTTCTTGGAACCGTGAGACAAAGCACCTGAAGACAAATGAGAGCAAGTTGATGAGGGCAGAGAGGAAAGTGGGGAGAAACCTGGCTGTATTTCAGTGGGAGTTCTTGAATTCACCAATTCTGAAAGTGTTCCTTTCAGAATTCCTGTTAGGTAAGACAATACATTTTATCATTTAAGGCGTTTTGACTTGGGCCTGTTATTATTTACAAATGAAAATATCTCAACTGATAGCCCACAAAATGATTTTCTTCCAGTAAATAGCCATGGTAGATCCATATTTCCCTCTGGAACAGCCTTAACTCTCAGGAAGGAAAATGACTTATCCGGAGGATTTTATGAAGTCTATTTTTACCAGGATGTTCTGATTTCCCCCTTCCTAGCTAGGCATGTACACTTCACCTTGTCCTTCAAATCACAGAAACTTCTAGACTCTTTTGCTTCTACTAAAGTACACGATTTCCAGTTCACAGAGGGGTTTTTAATGCACCTTGTGTTGTCATACCTCTAGGTTAATTGATAACATATCCTACTTAGATTTTAAAAATGTAAGAACTTCCTCCCCCTCATTGTCCTAAGATCACCATCCATCAGAATAGCACCAATAGTTAGAGATGGTTATGAAAGATGTAGACAGAAGAGAGAAGTAGAGTAAAAAAGAAACAGAGAAGGAAGCAATCAAATCAAATTATGAGAATAAATTGTCAGAAAATTGTGTTCAAGTCTTTATTCTATCATGTTTTACATGAACAGAAAGAAATAAGTTGGGAGAGCAAAAGAGAGACAGGTAGACAGACAGAAGCTATCTACTGACAGAGGGAGAAAGGAAAATGCAATTCATATGATACTTGTCTTTTGTAAAATTTAGGTTTATTAAATATAGATACAAAAGTGTATGTATTTTATATACTTCAATCTAGGACGGAAACTACATATTAATCCTGAGACCATAGGCCAATTGGTGAGCTTCTCAGGCTGAGGTTCCTTAGGGACGATGACATCTGTCTCCTGGAGTCATTGGAGGGAAGAAGTGAGACTATAGAGGACATGTGCCTGATATACAGGGGGGTTAATAGTCTCTTATCCAATAAATATGTATTAAGAACCTTCTGTGAACCAAGCATCATACCAGCTGCCAGGGATATTATGGTGAGCAGAATCAGTCTAGAAAGGGCAACAGAATAAATTAGTAACCATGAAAACAAATGTAAATAACAGATATGAAAAGGGCTATGGGGGCTGAGAAAGTGTATCCTTGAGAAATTTGACCTCTTCTAAAAGACCAAGAGGAACCATTTTCAGTGCAGCCTAAACCCACTTTCTTGAAAAGCCTACCCTGCTTACCTCCAACAGGAAATGATTCTACTGGCCTGTGAATTCTCAGCGGGAAGCGTGGAGCCTATAAATGACATTTATCTTACCCTATTGTGTCTAGCATTGTAACTAGTAGTATGCATGCCCCGTCTCCTCTACCAGATTTTGGACTCTTTGTAGGCAGACAGCAGGCCATCTACATGTTCGAACGCTTCATAATATCTATTAGAGTCTATTATTTCAATAAATAAGCAAAATTAGCTTCCAGAAAGCTGCCACAATTTAACAGAATTTGAAGCTTAATTTATGCCTTTTGTAAGCCAAGTTCCCATTGATTTTCAAGTCATTTGTCTGAACATAATAGGCAGTGTGCGAGGAAACAATAATTTGGCCTCTCAGAAATTGTATAATATCCATCCTTCATGGAGTGTGATACCCCTAAACTCCTGCTGAATAATGCCAGACCTGAGCCTGACTCACCTATTAATCGAGTTTACAGAGACAATAAAAAGTGAGGCTACTAGAATTCCATTTGCCAAATCTTCAACCCCTAAATGTTATGATTAGAATCTCAGTTTGTGGTCTAGCAAAAAGAAAGAAAGAAAAGAGTACAAGGGAAAACCTCTGTGTGCTGAATCATCCATGCCTGTTAGGTCGCTTAATATTAAATCTGACCCTGCAGTTAAACTCTAGAAATCTGCTCAGAGAAGCAATTGTAACCATATATCGATGCCAACTGATTAAATTCTACCCTAACTCTGGAAAGATATTTTTCTATTTTTCAATGTTAAGAGATGCCCTTTTGTCTATATGTGCTTTTATTGTAATTAATAACTATCATTTTTCTTGACATCAGTAACAGCTATGAAAAATATGACACCAAAAAGAATCAAGGAAACATTTTGCTATTAGATTTAAATATTCAAGTTTCACTTAGTATTTCATTTAAATTCATTTTATTTTGATATCTTTGATTTTTTTAAAACATCCTCAGTGCTGAAAGGAGGCAGAATTTATAAATCCAAACAAATGTATAAACAAACAACCCAGGCACTGTTAAGTAATTTACCAAATAGAATCCATCTATATAAGAAAACCTATCACATGAGAATCTGCAATGTGGGCTAATGAGAGAAAAGATTTTCTTCCTTGATCCTGGTTTTGGTTCCTTTCAAAATCTAAATCTTGGGTCCATTGTAAGCTGTAGGATGACAGATATGCAAGGACAGTGAGCATTCCCTTGTTGTTTCCATGGGTTTCATCAGCTTGTTTTCCATGACTCATGATGCCTTCCTGGAAAAAAAACTCATTTCTTTGATCTCGTGGGGCAAATGAATGCTCTTGAGCCAGTTTTCATCAACCAGTCAGCATTCCTACTGTTTCCTATTGTGAATTCTCAGCTGAACCCATATATTTACTAGTTAACTCATTCCCAAAGTAAAATTAGGAGTATTCTTCAAAAGGGTTCAGTCCAAACGGTCCAGAGGAATTCATAAGGATATTCTAAAGATTGAAACGGAAAAAAAGACAAATATTATTTACACAAAAATGAAAAGAATTAGTGGAGAATAATTTTTAAACCATTTATTAAAACTGTGTCTAGGGGACCCCTGGGTGGCGCAGCGGTTTGGCGCCTGCCTTTGGCCCAGGGCGCGATCCTGGAGACCCGGGATCGAATCCCACGTCGGGCTCCCGGTGCATGGAGCCTGCTTCTCCCTCTGCCTGTCTCTCTGCTTCTCTCTCTCTCTGTGTGACTATCATAAATAAATAAAAATTAAAAAAAAAAAATAAAAATAAACTGTGTCTAATAAGAATACCCAAAACCCTCCCAATATCCCTAATTAACATTTCTTTCCAATCCTGTGTTACACAATGGAACCTCCATAATAAGCCTAGGAAGACAGTGTGGTTAGTGGTAACAACTCCTCAGCCTAGGACCCAGGAAACCAGTTGATCAATCTGATTTCCCCACTGATTGCATGTTATTTTGCCAATGAATAGCAGAACTCTGGAAATACAGTAGGTGTCAAAAAGCATTAGGTGAATGAACAAAGAGAATCTCCTCATAGGCAAGGCTAAGCATCCCAGAATAAGGACTGGAATGAGAGGTATCAAACATCATATTTCATTAAAACAACTGTATGATTACATTAGTCTACCTAACAATTTCTGAACCCATAGCAGACTCTGATTCCACTAAGAACTGCTTCTCTCTAATCCTGAACACAATTATCTCCCTTAGCCCTTAGTTTCCAGTTTGACATATTGAGCCACCTACACTCGATCCCTTTGGTTGCTTCTCTAGATCTGCATTCCATTTTTTGCCATCCTGTTTGGTACCCTGGGAGGCCAATCTATATGAACTGCTTCAGTCCAGCTCCAGTGTCTTCTGGCTCTGGTTGGGTTTGACCAATGGGAAGTACTATCACATGGGGGAAAGAGAACAGGACAGCCAAATTGAAGTATTCTCTCTCTTCAGGGTGATCACAGGCTGTTGTGTCACTTGACTAAAAATCACAGTTCCTATCAGTAGCCCTCCCCACGTAGTCCATCAGAGAGAGAGAGAGAGAGAGAGAGAGAGAGAGAGAGAGTGTGTGTGCCTCTGTCTCTCTGGGTTCCTTGCCACTTTAGTCTTAGGGACAGTGGCAGTGCCCTACTACTACTAGTTTTCAGTGCTGTGCTCTCCTTTTGGATTTTCCCACATCCTGAGTTAATAGACCCTTTATTAAATTCACCTCAAATGATCCAATTTGAGTATACGATTAGTTTCCTGCTAGAATCTTGACTGGTAACTACCCAAGTATCATGAAGAGTAAATAGGGAGATATAGATATACCACTTTCATAAAAAAGAATGAAATCGTGCCATTTGCAATGATGTGGATGGAATTAGAGAGTATTATGCTAAGTGAAATAAGTCAGAGAAAGACAAATACCATATGATTTTACTCATGTGGAATTTAAGAAACAGAACAAACAAATATAGGGGGGAAAGAAAAGGGAGAACCAAGAAACAGACTCTTAAGTATAGAGAACAAACATGGTTGCCAGAGGGGAGGTTGGTGGAGGGGTGGGGGTGGATGGTTGAAATAGGTGATGGGGATTAAGGAGGGCAGTTGTGATGAGCACCAGGTGTTGTGCGTAAGTTTTGAATCACTAAATTCTATGCCTGAAACTGAAAAAAATAAAAAAGAGTAAACGATGTAGCCTATCGCCACCAAGCACAAAAGAAGGATACTAGTAAATGCTAGTGTCTCCCCTCTTCCTTATAATTTTTATACCCTCTACAATAGCTATTAATAGTGTATTAACATAATAGCTACTTAATAAATATTTGTTGAATGAATGAAAAACAATTTCTAAGACACTTCTGACCACAGTCTGGAGTCCCCCACCTGAAAATCGGTGCATGTTAATTAGGTCATCAGATGTTATGTCGAGGAAAGTTTTTTTAATTTCAGTAATTGAGGGTCAGTGGGTAGTTCGGCTTATAAATTTGCATTCTCTCTTCTCTCATGTTCTGACTGAAACAACGATTGGCCTGCTAGAATCATCTACGACTCAACCCCGGAAACAGCCAAGGGATGAGCTGACATTTCAGGGGCAGATGCTGTTTAACAGACAGAGATTAGTTTATTCGTACTTCCTAGACCTTGGAAGAAATAGTGATTTTATTTCATGTCATCTAATTCATATAAACTGCTTTTGCAAGTTCATCACTTTTTGTATCCTACACGCAGATAGAAAAGAAGGTTGGGAGGTTGGGGTAAACTGTACCTCCTCAGGTCTTTTCATGTTTTTTCATGTTTTTAATTGGATAAAGGCAAATCATTAAGAAGGCCAAATCATCACTCACCGTGTATATTGATCTTGCGGATGCACCGTGGAAGTAACTTCTAGTTCTGGTATTGGAGGAAGCACTTTCTTGACCTGATTCAAGGGCAGCCTTTGCTTGGTCTCTAGTTTTTAAGAAAGAGAGCTGTTCCAGTCTGTGTTTAGTTAATAGCAATGCAAAAACAGATGCAACATTTTCCAACGTACTAAGAGAATCATGCCCTCCATCTGGCAAGGATACTGGCAGTTTCCATCACTCACTGAATTTCCTGCCTACAACTGTGATACCTTTTACCCATTTCTCTTAACTCTGTTTTTTTCATTTCTCCTCTCTCCCCACTTCCTGAGTACAAGCCCCGAAGCACTGTTAAAGGAGGAGCAAAGCAGAGAAAACCATTTTTTCCATACAATGCCAAGTAGAAAGAATAGAACTTTAGTATGGAAATTGACTGCAAACATTTCCATCTCTGCATTTTGTTAAAATAGGTCCCTAAGAATTTTTATTAACAACATCTTTGATTTCAGGGACAATTTTACCAAGAAACCAAGTTACAAATCAGATGAATTCTAGTCTGTCCTCCTTTTCAAAGACTACGAGGCATCAAATCCTTCTAATATTATCTGCAGCTGACTTCAAGGTAGAAGATGAAATTTCAGGCCCATGGCATATGGTATCTCTTTCATTCCACTGGGATCTGGGGCCTTGCTTTTCTAGTTTTTATACTGAAACTAGAGTTTTACATAATACATGTGGTTTTTGCTTCACAGATGTCTCTACTTTTTATACAAAGCCATGGACATGAATGGAAATGAGGTGACCTATAATTTAAAGAGTTTGAGTAGCTGCTTCTGAAGAAGACAAATCAAAAAGACTTAAGTGTAATCAAGAATATGATGCTTAGCAAAAACGCTTTTAAATTTTAAAGAAATTTCCATATGCATAAAAAAAAGAATATCATGCTTCTTATTCATGAAGATGATTAAACACTGGAATAGGTTACCAAAATAGAAATACTGTCAAACCATCTCTTGGAATTATATACTTTAAGAAACATTTTTTTTTGGAATTATTTACTTTTAATTAGAAAAACATTTAATTTTTTTTTTTTTATGATAGTCACACAGAATGAGAGAGAGAGAGGCAGAGACACAGGCAGAGGGAGAAGCAGGCTCCATGCACCGGGAGCCCGACGTGGGACTCGATCCTGGGTCTCCAGGATCGCGCCCTGGGCCAAAGGCGGGCGCCAAACCGCTGTGCCACCCAGGGATCCCTAGAAAAACATTTAATAAGAAAGACTTATTTTGGGGATTTAATTTTCTGAATGATTAAAATTTTACAAACTATAAAGGAATATTCAGCAAAATGTCTCCCTCTTACTCCATTTGCTATAGACAACCACTTTCTACCACACCAGATAATTCTCTTCCTTCTTTCCTTTCTTTGCCACAGGCAACCAAGGCTTTTAGATATGGGGGGATAGTTATATAGATAATAGGTAGATAGATTTACACTTTCATATGTACATATATGTTATTTTTGTCTTTATTTACACAGCTGGTAGCATACTATACATATATATGTATATTTAATGGTATGGCTAAGATCTTTCCATAAATGCTTCCTCATTCTTTTTTACAATTTCCTGGTACTCCATAGTAAGGATGTATCATCCTGTCTTCAAACACATCCTATTAGATTGTGTCCAGTCTCATACTGCAAACACACTAGCAATAAACATTGTACTTTTGTCATTTCTGTCATATGTAAGCAATCCATGGGAAAAATTCCTAGAAATAGAATTGCTGGCTCAAAGGGCTTGTATATTTGTAACTTTGAAATTACATATCATAGAAGTTGTTACTCATTTTAGCCTTAGCCAAGTATGAGAATGCAGAATGCCTATTGCCCCTTGCTACAGAATATATCTAACTTCTGGATTTTTACCAGTCTGGTAGATGAAAATGGCATTTCCATGTAACTTTAATTTTCATTGCCACCTGAATGTAAGCTCAACAAAACAGAGATCTTTGTTTGGCTCATTGCTGTGTCTCCTACACCCAGAAGGCCAATATTATTTGGCACATAGTAGACATCAAAATAAAAGTTTCTTTTGAAAGAATTTATTGTTAATGAGACTGAACAACCTTTCATATATTTAAGAGCCATTTGTAGTTTCTTTTCTGTAAACAGTCCATTTATATCCTTATCCATTTGTCTATTGGGTAATGATCTTCTCTCTATCAATTATTAGAACTTCCTTTTTTACCAGGAAAGTTTGCTTATCATATGTGACGAACTGCAAATAATTTTTTCCTAGTGGGTTTTGCTATGTACATTCTTTTTCACATAGTCATATTTATCAGTCTTTTAACTGAATTTTGTGTCATGGATTGAAAGCCCTACTTTGTGATTATAAATTAATTCTACCATTGTTTCTATTACTTTTATGGTTTCATGTTAACATTAAAATTATTGATCCATTTGAAATTTACCCTCATACTAGTGTGAACTCTGGAGTAAGAAAATTTTTTTCCGGGGAACCCTGGGTGGCTCAGCGGTTTAGTGCCTGCCTTTGGCCCAGAGCATGGTCCCAGAGTCCCAGGATCGAGTCCCACATCAGGCTCCCTGCATGGAGCCTGCTTCTCCCTCTGCCTGTGTCTCTGCCTCTCTCTCTCCCTCTCTGTGTCTCTCATGAATAAATAAATAAAATCTTAAAAAAAAAAGGAAATTTTTTTTCCTAGGTGGTTATTCAATTGTCCCAATACCATTCATTCAGTAATCCTTCTCTTTCCTACCAATTAAATATGCGACTCTCATCATTTACTCAAGTCTTAAACTTTCTAATATTTCATTAGATATATATTTTTTAAAGATTTATTTATTTATTTGAGAGAGCAGAAGCAGGAAGGGAAGAGGGAGAGAGAATCTTAAGCAGACTCCATGCTGAGCAGGGGAGCTGGACGCAGGGCTCAGCCTCACAACCCTCAGATCACAACCTGAGCCAAAGCCAAGTGTTGGACAGTTAACTGACTGAGCTACCCAGGGGCCCCTCATTAAATATATTTATCTACTTATGTGCCTGTACCATGATGGAACAGATCCTTCTCTTCTTTAGTCTTTTCTGTCAATTTTTATCTGGCTATTACTGACAGCTTATTTTTCATCAGGATGTTAAAATGACCTTGTTTATGATTTAGGAAGAACTGGCAACTTTATATATTCATCTTTTTATTCAAGAACATGATATACCATTTTGTTGTTGTTCAAGTCATTTTTATGTCTCTCAGGAGCATTTTTCTGGGTTTCTTCAGAAAGCTCTTACACATTTCTTTATATTAATTTTATTCCTAGTTATTTTATCTTTTTATGGTTGTTTTAAATGCAGCATATCTTCTAACTAGTTGTTTAAATATATGAATGGTATTGATTTTTTGTATTAATTTCATACCTTGCCCCTTATTGAATTTTACTTTTAAATTTTTCTAGAGAATTCTCTTAAATTTTCCTGTACATAAAGTGATCATTTTACCTTTCCGATTTCTGTCTCTTACCTAATTATGTTGACCAGTACTTCTGTGATGATGGTAGGTAAAGTGGCAACAGTGGACAGTCTTGAAAATTGCTGGCTTTATAGACATGCTTTTAGTGTTTCCCTAGTAAATATAATTCTGGGTTTTTGTTTGAGATAGATATATTTTATCATGTTAAGGAAGTACCTGTTTATCTTATTTTTATTGGTTGGGAGTTTTATGAAGGATGGACGTTAGAGTTTGTCAAATGCATTTTTAGGATGTAGAAAGATAACCAAACAAATTTTCCCTTAGATCTATTAATGAGTGATGTTAGTAGATATCTCCTAATGGCAAGCTGTTCCTATAGTCTTGGAATAAGTAGGAGTGTATATATGTATGTATAGATACATATATATATATATATATATATATATATTTAAAGATTTTATTTACTTATTTATGAGAGAGAGAGAGAGAGAGAGAGAGAGAGAGAGGCAGAGACACAGGCAGAGGGAGAAGCAGGCTCCATGCAGGGAGCCTGACGTGGGACTCGATCCCAGGTCTCCAGAATCAGGCCCTGGGCTGAAGGTGGCGCTAAACTACTGAGCCACCCGGGCTGCCCAGATACATATATTTTTTAAACTGTGCTACTACTGGGTTCTTTTGATAATATTTGTTTAGGGTTTTTGCATCTATATACATAAGCAATATTGCTCAATGATTTCATTTTAGGCACAATCTTAGTTTAAAATATTATTAATGTTTACAATAGAATTTGGAAGCAGCCTTCTTTTCTATGGTCAATAATAAATACATTGAAAATATCTATTCTCGGGGATCCCTGGGTGGCCCAGCGGTTCGGCGCCTGCCTTTAGCCCAGGACACCATCCTCAAGTCCCGGGATCGAGTCCTGCGTCCGCCTCCTGGCATGGAGCCTGCTTCTCCCTCTGCCTGTGTCTCTGCCTCTCTCTCTCTCTCTCTGTGTGTCTATCATGAATAAATAAATAAATAAAATCTTAAAAAAAAAAGAAAATCTATTCTTTGGTGATTGGTAAAAATTCCCCCATGAACTGCTCTGTTACTTTCTGAGGGATAACTGACAAATTTTCTATTTCTTCTATGATAATGGTTTTGTCTAGATTTTCTATTTCCTCTGGTATCAGGTTTTGTAAATTTTTCCAGAAAATTATCAATGTTAATTAGAGATGTTAAAAAGTAGCAACTACTCTTTAAGGGGCAGGAATGATGCCTTTTAGGGGCCATTTCAACAGACATTGAGGACCCTTCCATTCCTATGAAAATGCTAAAATAACCACCAAAGCCAGAATTTCTTCTTACACAATATTTAGCCTTCTAAAAAGTGATTGACAAAGCTTTCCTGACTGGCTGGGACAAAGGTGAGAAAATGAGACCAGTTTTTACGTGGACACCAAACTCTCATCTCCTTGCTCTCTTCCTCACAGACCCATTGCATTTGATTACCTTAGCATCCTTTATTTTTACCTTATTATCTATAAGGACAACCACATATATGGGGATAATTCTATAAGCTCTATTTGTCTCACACTGAAAGTTCCTAGGAATCTGTGATTTTTGTCTTTCTAAATCTCAC